GACGGAGGAGAGGATGCACAGAAAGAAAATATTTTCCCTTTCAATACATCCTCCACATCCCTTCCTTTCCTTATAAGAAAAAGGGTGGGAAGGGTAAGAGGACTAAATTGGGCCTCCGGGACGCACACTCATCAGACGGAACGCGGAATTGCTTCCACTTCACGCCTGTCTTCTGTGTGGTCGTGGTATTTCACCGGGCGAGCCGGGCCAATTCGTACAAAGATGTTAAAGCGGGCTCTACCACTGTTAAAACTCTTCACACTGTGGGGCTTGGAGGCTGCCCCATGTAATGGGTGACAAGGCCATAGTCAACCACACTGGCCCAGGGAGGGTTGGTTATCTTCACACATATCTTTTGAATTTCTTCGTAGATATATGCAGGCAATTTTGCAATTTGCAATCTAAAAATTGTCTCTATTGTTAGTCAGATTATGTAGGTAAAAAAAACAGTTATATAGATCATAGCGAACTTGTGCACTTTTAAAATATAATAGTATTTATATTTATTCATATTCGAATTTAAAATAGAACCTTTCTATCCAATTTGAAAGGCAAACAAGTCTGCAACGTGATTTCATTTGAAGTACGCGCAGCTCTTCAGACTTTTTGATCAATTCCGAGCAAGTACGAAAGAAGAAGCTCTTTACAAATACTTCAGTACTAACTTAATAATGTATTTTTCGTAAAATACATTACGTTACGTAGGAAAATCGTGAGTTTATCCTGTTTGTGAAGATTATGAGAAAACTACGAAAATTCATTTTGCACTGCCAATAAAAATTATTGACATTATCATTGTAAATATTTCTACTAAAATTACATTTACTTGTTAATAAACTCTCAACGTCTCAGGTACTTCAGTAGAGACAAGACAATGTCTTCTTAAAAGCTACGCCATTAGTTACAAAAATACTTTAATGTTGGTAGGCTTTTATTCAGCGCTACTTTTGTAATTATTATTTCATGAAGTATTCTTAAAAGCTTTCTCTTGTTGCGCATTTCTGATATTCTTTGTTATTCACATTGCAAATTTATATATAAATATTGTATCAAAAATAATACTTTGATAGTGTTAAAATCTAAGTCATATTAAGCTATTGTAGTGCTGAAAAAATTATTAATTTTCATAAAATTAAGGATTTTTCAAATATTTATAATGAAATTTTCTAATCAAAATCTACCAAGTCTAATGTTATATGTCCTCTTTTTTTCTATTCATTTTTTCTGCGTAAAAAGCAATGATTTTATCTTTTAATTTACCATCTAGTCCTATATTCTGAGATATTCGAAAGATCAACTTACATACTAACGACCTTACGCAATGAAAACGTTTGATTTTCATGCATTCAAATAGCTAATTAATGAAATGCGAAATCAGATTAAAATAACATGACACTATGAATAAGAAATTCTTATATCTAACATTTGCATCAAGATTAATGTGAGCGGGGTAACCCGAATCACATTATAACATACGCGCCTTTCGCCGACCCATCTCAATGACGGCTTGTACAACATTAACGTGATAATGTTTACATCGTTGGGTTTTACGATCTCTACACTACCTTCATCTCACGCCTTAGTTAAACGAAGTTCGTTAGCAAAAACCCTTCTGGCTTACAGTCGGTATAAATTGGCTTCTCGTATAAACATGATAAGATTTACGAACCAACCACCTTCGATGTAAATTTAATTAGCAAAAAACGGTGATTTAGAAGGATTCGGGAAGATTTCTACTTTGTTATGATTTGAAAAATGTAATTTAAAAAAATATAATTTTAATGTCTTATTGTTTTCATAATATTATAACAGATGGCGCTATAAATACAATAAAGAGAATGGATTTATAGTATCTTAGTAATATGTACCCTAGATCTGTAGACATTTTGGCACAGTAAAGATATGGGGCTCTCTTCGTACCATTTTTAATATCATGTCTTAAAGTAATTTCTAGATAAATAGATAGTCTGTTTTTAATTTTTATATGAAGACTTATGATATTTATTATAAGATAAAATCATTTTACAACAGAAATCTTCTATTCCGTGTAACGGAGATTACTCACCACCAGGTTGTCTTTCTAAGCACTAAAGGGAATATCGAAGAGTTACTGAGATTCAATCAGATTCCAAAAATATTCCATTTGGGATTTGTATTTATTCCAATAGATTTTCATATGACTTACTTGACTTGACTTAAAGTCCTATGTCCCCGTAGTGGAGCAGAGGGCGTCCACAGATTTTCATATATTCATTCAAAAATCATAGCACGTCAAAATTGGTTATATGTTGAACATTGTGTTCAATAAACATACAGCATACTATACCTACCTGTATTAAATTTCAATAAGATATGTTGAATTGTTGCAAAGTACATAGCAAATATGTAAAAACAAATGTATTCCGAGGGAACTATACGTAGATCCGCTATCATAGGTAGTCTCCGTGTTTCCACACAATGTTTTATATATATATCAAATTTCATCCAGATCTATAAGGCCGTTCCGGAAATACCTAGTAACATCCATCCATCCAAACATTCTCATTTATAATTTTAGTAAAATCGTCGTCTCATCATTTCATTCAAAAAAACGGACAACAATGTATCAATAACGAATAGTTTTTTTGACAGAAATGGACGGCATGAATTGAATATATGTAAAAATACGCAAGTCATGTAAACATAGAAAAAATGTCAAACAAATCGACACATTGAAAATTCGTGTCTTATTCGTGTTCTGTCAAAACTATCTTTTTCTTAAGACGACTTACTTCCTTAAGGCTGCTAATTTTCCATATGATATCTTTTAACGCTAAAATTAATTATCTTTGTCCTCCGTTCACTGGGACAGCGAATTATAAATGGCTATGTTTAGAAGTGGTTTTTCTATCTTAGGCAATAAAGAATAGTTTTAAATTTTTGTTAAAATTAGAAGATCCTACTCATTTTCCCCATAGTGCAAGCTGGCTTAAGCTCCCTTTAGTTGTTTTTATTTGTTAAATCGTTTTCAATATTTTATTACATGACTGATTTATATATTACTAGATTATTATAGACTTTATACAACAACAACAAACAATATAATTCACGCCCGTAAACTAGAGGGGAAGGCAGAGAACACGAACTTCTATTTGGCGACAGGTTCCTCCGCAGTCCACTTCTCGCCCTTCTGGGAGACGGATCGCGACAGGCGGCCAACTGCAACGCCGTATAACTTTATATTATCTTAGTATTGAAATAATTATTATCTTCATATCTTGTAATATTGAATTTTAATTCTAATTAACTTCCTAATTTTTTTCATCCTTAAGTACCTTTTCCTTGAAATAGTAAACACAACACAAAAGAAATTAGCGAAATTCTTTAATCTCTTCACACAAACCCCGCAGTATAATATTAAATCGGCACAACACACATACAGGGAAGTGTTTTTCTTAGTGTTTTTTTTTAAATTCAAATGAGGTTAGTTAGAATGCAAACAAATCAATCACCCTTTAAACGATGGTTCGTGTCTTTATTGTGATTTCATTATAGAAATGGGAAAAATATTGTTTTTTTTTTCATTAGTACCTTTTTCGTTAAATATTTTTTGTACTTCTTCTATCTATTTACTTTTATTTTTTGTATAGAGTAAGACAAACAGGATGTTTCAAAAATATGCAACAAATTAATAGAGGGCCATAGATTGCGGAATACTTGAAAAGGCAATCGTAGTTATAGCAAAACCTCGCGAAAGATGTTATTAGGCACGAACTTAACCATCTCAACTTGTAAATAAGTATATAAACAGTTGTTAGACCAATAGTTGCAACTGACCTACAAACACAGGGCATTTTCTGGGCTGTCAGAGACATTTTCTTCTGATATTTTTTTTCATTGAATCTGCTTTGTATGACTTAAAATATGTCTTATAACGTTAAATTTACTGAATATCGATGCTGACGGCGCTCTTAGAAATGATAATTTGTATGGAGACGACATTAAAATAGGCGATAACTCAGCTATCGCAGGATTGTCTGTCCATTATTTCCTCATAGTTGATGTTTCTACGATATATTTGAAAATTTTTGGCATACTGCATACCACGGCCACTGGTGCGATTTTTAAGTTTTTTTAAGGTCAAAGGTCATAAAAATGAGTTTTTCACATATTTCAGCAAAATGGTAAGTTTTCTCAAAAAGTTCATTATCATCATTATCAGCTCACTATACGTCCCTACCGAGAAGCTCGGAGCCTACCCTAAGTTAAGGGTGATTAGGCCATAGTCAACCACGCTGGCCCAGTGCGGGTTGGTTGACTTCACACATATCTTTGAATTTATTCTCAGATATGTGCAGGTTGCATCACAATGTTTTCCTTCACCGTAAGAACGTCGGATAAATGTACATATGTAAATCGAAAATCGAAAAACACATTGGTACATGGCGGGATTCGAACCCAGGACCTGCAGATTGCAAGTCGAGTGCTTGACCACTGAGCCACCGACGCTCTTGCTCAAAAAGTTACCTGAGAGCAAATTGTATATTATAAAATTCCCCCCTATAACAAACCCATACATATCTTTTTTATAAGTTCCACCGTTTCTGAGATATAACGGCCACAGGAACCAAATCCTCAAGTCCGTTGAAGCTTGGACTGACATGAAACAGTAATTTTTCGACTGTTGTTAACATACTATTATTACACATTATTACGCAAAACTAAAACTAAAAATGCTAGAGTTTTTATCATAATGTGAAAAACTGCATAAAATCTGCACAAAATAATTTCCTTAGTTAATCAGTTACCAAAAAATATTTCTCAATGTTTAATACTTTTTTTAAATCCTCGAAAAGCTTCAGTTTCCAAAGATTATTATTATTGTTAAGACGGTCGCCTCTTCATTAATACTGTAACAAAATTACATAATATAAATTTATTTTAAAAGAAGGAAAATAAAGCGTAGTCAATAACAACAATTATGGTAATTTTCAAGTAGGGTAAGAAATATATTTCCAATACGGATTTTAAAGGGGCACTTTCAAATGATGTTATTTATTTTCCAACATCCTGTAACAATGCTTCGAATTCACTTATCCATCGTATATGTATAAATATACCGCGTAGACTATAATTTAAAAATCAAGGGTCGTGCGTTAAAAACGTAGTTAATCGCGAACTCTCGGACGGAGCACTTGGACACCTGATTTCAAAATGTTTAATTCTCTTAAGTCCACAAAAAGGAGTTTTTTATGCTTAAGGTAAGTAGAATGTTTTGTAAATCAAGATCAAAGGAATACCTTGCAGTCACAGAGTCTGTTGCCCAATTATAATTTTTGTTTTCTTAAGTATAAGGTTGTCAATAATGTAACATTCTTGTGGTTATATCTAGAAATGACCTTTAACAACTTAATTGATTTCATTTTAAGGCACATAACCACTGACACTAATTTAGTTATAACAACACCAGCAAGTAAACCATTCAAAGATGTACCCGGTCCGAGGGCACTGCCGTTCGTTGGACAGTTGTACCATTTTCTACCAGGAGGTGAAGTATGCTCTTTTGTTATAATATCGTGGTTACACGGCAGCCACGCCGACTTCTCGCTTAAATTCTATCAAGGCTTTACGAATGCAGAAGGTTAAAGATCGCTTTATTATTAGACAAATGCTTAATCGATTGCAAGCGCCTTTCACAAAAACTATTAAAGTATAATAATTTTTCCATTTTAGCAGGAAAAAGTAGTATTGTTGGAATTTAACGTTTATAACTATCATACGTGTGTCAAAAGAGGGCTGTAAATGGAAACAGTAAAATGGTTACAACAACTTCTTCAAATAAGACCATATTAACGGTACCTGCTAGTCCACCCTCCCCCTCCCCCTCACCGAGCCTAGAGACAGCAATGTCTTAATTTATGATCTCCGTGGAGCAACCACCAACCCTGTTACTAAATGACAAAATATAAAGTAAATAACAAACAAATGACATTGCAGGTTTACTTCACAATCTTAGAGGTTTTGATTTACATAACTTTCTATACGAGAAATATGGACCTGTTGTTAAAATGAAAGGACATTTTGGTGCAAAAGACTCAATTTTACTGTTTGATCCAGAAGTCGCGATACAGGTAAGAATACATAACATATGTTTTGTGTTTGTTGCTACTTAGTGGTCTAGGTAGAACATGTCAATTTATCAAATACTTTCTTACTTCGCTAGCGCATTGACCCAAAGTGGGTTTTGGCCTCAGACACAAAAGATCGCCAAAGTCGCAAAATTTATCAAATGTTATTCAATTACTGTAGTACCTTCTAATGATGAAAGGAAGATTTCTGTAACATCGCCTAATGTTAATGAGTACGTTTTACGCACGTCACACGAGCAGACCAACTCGACAGGTGAAATACCACTGCCATATAGAAGACAGGCGTGAAGTGAAAACATTGCGCTATTTTATCTAGTGAGTGTGCGTGCCTCAACGCTTATTTAGTCCCCTTTCTTTTCGCAGTCTTTTTTATAAGAAAAGGATAGGAAGGAGAATACGACGAAGGAAACGCATAGGCACAGGGAATATCCACTTTCTATGAGTTCCCAAGTCGATTAAAGTTTGACAACGCATCTGCAATTGTGAATGTCTGCAATCAATAATCGCAGCTTTAATTTTGTTGTAACTGTAATTAAAATAAGACTTTTTACTTATGAATTGTTAATTTTAGATATATCGATCAGAAAATACAATGCCTATACGAATAGGTTTTTTTGCGGCACAACATTATAAACATGTAATTAAAAAGGAAAAGGGCGAAGAGAGAACATACAGCGGACTTATTTTTGAGTGAGTTATTTCTTTGCATATAACCTTACCGAATGGGTTTCATTACTTTGCTGTATCATTTTATAAATCTAACTTGTGCATATTTAATTGTAATTCTCAGCCACGAGGAAAAGTGGAGAGAGATAAGAACACTAGTCAATCCAGTTATGATGCAAGCAAAATCATTAAAGCCATATGCTGAACCACTGGACGAAATAGCCCAAGAAGCAGTTGCAAGGTATCATTAGAAAGAGTATTTATTGCTGAAGCTCACAACATTACACATTCTAAATGAAATTATAGATCTTACCGAAAACTGAAGCGATAGAGTTGACAAAATATTTAGCTTAAGCTTATGCTGGATTTTACTATAAAATCATCATGTCATCATCAGCTCACTATACGTCCCCACCAAGGGGCTCGGAACCTTCCCTAAGTTAAGGGTGATTAGGCCATAGTCAACCATGATGGCCGAGTGCGGATTGGTGGACTTAACACATATCTTTGAATTTCTTCTCAGATATTTGCAGGTTGCATCACGATGTTTTCCTTCAGCGTAAGAACGTCGGATAAAAACACATTGGTACATGGCGGGATTCGGACCCAGGACCTGCAGATTGCAAGTCAAGTGCTTGACCCCTGAGCCACCGACGCTCTAACTATAAAATACTTGAAAAAAAACCTAGCTATGCCTTAAGATATGCCTACACATTTTGAAGACATTTATTTTGAGCTACAGTTGTTTATCTTTTAGGATGAAGTCTATTCGAAATGAAAACAACATGATTGAAAATAATCTTCTTGACGAATTTATGTCATATGTATTAGAATTTACGGGAATAATAGCACTCGGCCGTCGATTTTATGCTTTCGATCCCAATTTACGGGAAGGCTCTTTGACGCCAATATTACTTAGAAATGTACAAGATTTCTTCGCACTATCAGATAAACTAGATTTTCAGCCTAACTTATGGAGATACTATCCAAACAAGACATTCAGGACAGCTATGAAGTTCTTAGAGGAAGCTGAAAAGTAAGTACAAAACGATTGTAAACTCAGACCACAGATTATTATAATAAGAATCATGAGTTTTATACTATCGCAAAGCATTGCACCCTTGTTGATGAAAAAAACATAAGCTGAAATGTAAACTAATGCAAAGTTATGCTCTTCGTATACAAAGTAAATATTCGGAAAAAAAACATTTATTCTTTATTTTATTTAGGCTGAATGTAAAACTACTAAGAACGGCTATGGAAGAATTAAAAAAGAACCCAAAGCCTGAAGAAAAAAAAGGTGTGTTAGAAAAATTGGCGGAAATAAATGAGGATGTAGCTTTAGCATTTGCTGATGACATGTTTTTTGTAGGAGTTGATACCGTACGTACATTATTTTCACTTTTATGTCTATTTTGTTTCAATGGAAAATTGTATAATATAATAGTTAAAGACAAATTATAAATTTTTATAGATATTAAGATTTTATGATATATACTTACTACAAAATTTTATTACAGTTAGCAAATGGAATGATATCCGTGTTATATTTGCTAGCGAACAATCCTGATAAACAAACTAAATTAAGGGAAGAATTAATGTCAAAAGAAAGTAGACGACCGTATTTACGCGCATGTATAAAAGAGGCGGCGCGAATGAGACCTGTGGCGTTCGGAAATTTAAGACTCACTACAACTGAGTATAATATCTTCGGTTACGAAATTCCTAAAGACGTATGTACAATAGTTTTATTCCATATTAAGAAAAATTGTGACTTTATGTAACTATTTAAAAAAATGGTTATTAAAATTGAAGTACAGTTTATCGGTTACGACACGTTAGAAGACCAGGAAAAAAAGGAAAAATACAATGTTTACAAAATTATCACTGTTTGTCCTTCTCTTTCAGACTATGGTATTGTTTTGTCACGAGCATATGTCTCTTAGAGAGGACCAGTATCCTCAGCCAAATCAGTTCATTCCTGAACGTTGGCTGGTTGACAAAAACCATCCACTGTACCATGGAAACGCACATCCTGCAGCCGCTGTGCATTTTGGTTACGGAGCTCGGGGCTGCGTAGGTAAGTCTCAAATAATTTTTTTGCTTAAAATATTTATATTTGCTCTTATAAAAAATGTATATAAACTTAGAATTCATACACATTACGGTTTTGGAGTAGATAAGGTAAAAAAAGACGTTCTTGGTAAATTAATGGTAAATGGTAAATAATAAAGCAGTAAGAAAAAGATAACCTAGTTTAATATTAGATGTTGCTGGTAAGAGTATAAAATTTCCTTTCAGGTCGAAAAGCAGCCGATATGGAAATGGAAATACTTATCAGCCGTGTTATAGAAAACTTCAGGTTAGAATGGCGCGGAAAGCCAATGGCGGTGTACCAAAGCGTTTCCAATCACAATATGGCGCCGTACAACTTTATTTTTAACGATGTTTGATTTATTATTCAAGAAAAAATTGACATTGACTCTTTAGGCGGTTTGCAAAATATGACTGAACATTTCGGTACTCAGTTTTGAGCCCCTACTAATTTTAAAATATTGGACCACATGTGTTTTTTAATTCATATTTATAATTGATGTCCAATATTCTATCAAATCTGCAGTGTAAATAATAAATGTGAATATGTAAAGTATAATAAAAAATATATTTTAATTCCCTTAACCTTTTTTCAATCTTGGTCAGTACAGGACAGAAAAAATCTTTAGAATATTAGACATCTTTAAAGGTGAAGTTAAACGGCCCCTTGGCATAATTCAATGCGCTCTGATGCTGCTTCAAAGGTTCACCGAACCAATCGATTTGGAAGTTTTCGACGACTCGAGCGACGAAAGTTTCCATCTCCAACTCCGCTATGCGTCGACCTGCATGCAGATTGTGAAAAAACTTATTGACAAACAACACGCAAAAAACCTTCCTTTTTCGCTCTTAAACCACTGGGCTGATTTTGATGAAACTTTGGCAGAATGTTTTGAAAACATCAGTGGTTTCTGCCCTTTTGAATTTAAAAATTGTAATGAAAATTTTAATTTTAAGGTTTTTTTGGCTTACATTATAAAAAGGTTATAACAAAGGAAATGTGACATTTGAAGAGCTAAGCATACCGATACAGCTCCGAGTTCCAAATCCGAAAGGCATAAACGCAAACGGGTGTGCGTTCCCGTGGTACAATGGATCTTCCTTATCTGCGATCCACCGCTCAGGAATGTACTCGTTCGGTCTTGGATAGTGGCATTCCATCATCGAAACGTGTTGATTGGCAAATGTCAACATTGACTGAAATATTTAAATTTGCACATTGCAAATTGCATTGTTTGGGTTATGTTGACAAAAGTTTACTTTTAGTTACTCGAGTTTTGTAGCTAAACTACCTACTTACATGTTTCGGTATATGGTACCCAAGAATGTTATATTCCTTTGAAGTTTGTCTCAAATTTCCAGACACTACCGGCATAATCCTCATCGCTTCTTTTATACAAGCCTTCAAGTATGGCCTCTTTTCCGAACCTGACAATATCTCTTCTCTCAATTTATTTTGCTTTTCCGGGTTTTTTGCTAATAAATAAAGTGTTGGTATAACCGTATTGGCGGCCTGCAATAGATATGAGGTAAACACTTATCACCCATGTTTGTAAAAAATACCTTTTATCTTATTATATTCAAGATTCGGCTACTAGCGTTTTACTTAACTCTTTGCATAAAAAAATGAAACAAAAAGAAAGATAATGTCAACAGATATCTTACCGTATCCACACCGGCAAATAATAAATCACTGGCCATCAGGTAAGCATAATGTTCGTTTATTTCAAGTAACTTCTCTAAAATTCCTTTTTCGTTCTCTGATTCCTTATCTACTCTTTTAGTTTTCAGTACCTCAGTTGCTTTTTGGATAAAGTATTTGTTTAAACTAAAACATCAAGAAAATGACAATAAATATAAAATCAACCACGAAATGGTTACGGCTGTGCAATTACGGAACTTTGTTATCTACGTAAAATTTGCTAAAAAGCTTGCTTCTTAAGTATTATGCACTTTGACTCACTTCTCTTGATCTTCGTATAATTTCATAGCCCTCTTGTAAGATTTGGTTGGAAATATTCTCCAAAGACTCGGTTTGAAATCCAATTTATCTGCTACAGCAAAAAAGTCGTGTACAATTTGAATGAGCTTCCTTACGGGGGAGTCTGCGGGTAGATTGGGGTCGAAGCAATTGAGACGATCCCCGAGCGCCACCACACCTATTGACTCCAAAGCCCACAAGTTCATTTCGGTACCCAAATCACCTTTCAACATGTTATTTTCATCGCGTATTAATCTCATTCTGTAAAAATTAATATTATTATTTTACTATTACTTTGTTATTAAAAAATAATTTGAAAATCAACACGACCTATTAAAATGTGAAGAGAGCATCTGATTTTAATGATTTTTTCTACTGCAAGTACGCTACGGCGCGATAAAATGTACCAATCTATTATATTGAATCTCAACCAATTGTGGTCTTCGACGCTTTGTCGTGTGACAAAAGCTGACAACTTCATTGATCAAATCTGACTCAAAAATTAATCTGACGTTCGTATAAAAACATATTGATCTCTTTGTCCTTCTCTCTTCCTTTTTCTAACATCACTGTGTTAATCTTATAATTTTCCTTAGACTGTTGAAATTGGGAAGTAATTTTTAACTCACCTTTTAATCATATCATTGGCTACATCATCTAATATATTTGAGTACAGCTTTGCAGTCTTAGGTTGGAGCAAAACTGGGTTGACTGTTGATCGCAGCGTCTTCCATTTTTCATCGTGACTATAAATGAATATACATTATAATTTAATCCCTCGTCAATCTTTTAAATCACTTTCACCTGTTTCAGATTGCTACTCTTAAGGACCTGGTTCTGACCTGACTTTATTGTAATATATCCCTTTTTTACAAGCTTTTATTTAGTTCCACCTGCCATCAGGACGGTTTGTCATCAAATCTTGAGAATTACATTATTTTATTTCGAGAATATTATTCTTAACCAAAAGGAATAGAAAAATAATTACTCTGTAACTAGGCCAGTTATCTCGTGAGTTTCTTTGCCATACTTTTTCTTATATTCCTTTCTGTAATGTTCCAAAGATTGAAATCCTGGTCGCTTTGGTGTCAGATTTTCACTGCGTAAAACCTAAAAATATGAAAATTATTGTTAAATAATTGTTTTTAACTGATTAAACAGTAGTTAATCTTTCCAATAACTTACATAAGCTATGCTTTCAGCGTCATATAATATTACTATATCTGGTGATCCAAAAAGTCCGGGAAGTCTAGTTATTGGTCCATATGTTTTATACAACTTATCCAATAATTCGTATCCGTCAATTTTATAAAACGATCCTGAGTTAGATGATATAAAATTAGTATTCAGTTGGAAGTGTTCAAGAAATAAAATTTTATAGAGTTTTCTAATTTGTAAATGGTTCTATGACGTTTTAGATATCGTCACAAATAAAGTATTAATTCCTAATCCATACAGATAATTATATAATGGCAAATATTACATTGATTCAAATATTAATACATTTATCATATAAACTTACCCATAGGAAGGAAATGATGTAAAGACGATATGATTGGCAACTTGGAGGGACCAGGAATTTCGTCCCATGACTTCAGTGGTTGTATCGATTCAGTGACATTGGGCATAACATTGTTCACAGATGTAACGTACCTGAATATAACTTTTATTTAGATATACATTTATGTAAACAGATGAACCTACATTAATCGACCATTGAAAACTAATATAACATTCATGCTAATACTAATTTTAAAACTTTTACTAAATTAAAAGAGCAATATATGAAAATCGTAAGCATTTTTATAAGAACATAAACAAAGGAAAATATTTTATGCAAGTATTAACAAAATATTCTTACCTCGCATTATTAAAAACACTAACAGCCTGTAGAACTGGTCTTAACTTCGATGTTTGCATTGTTATTGTACTGATTTTACTATCAAAACTACACTAAAACATATGTAAAAACAATTAAAGAATTTAAAAACGAGATCAAATCAAAATATAATCACAGATTATTATTTTTTTTTATAGTTATAATTCCGCGTCAAAGATACGATGTTTCAACAACCAGTGTAACGAATGTTTAATGAATCCGACCTTGATATAACCGTGAACGCTCACACAGAAATAGATTTGAATAATAGTTGGTATTCACTGCCGGAACACCTGTACAAAAACATATTGCCATCTCTGTTTTTTTGAAGAGCTTGATAAGGATGACAATAACCAATGGAAATAATCTCAACAATAAAAACAAACATTGCGATATAGATACCGTCATCCAATTAACAGCAAATGATAAATCATATTATTTATTATACTTCATACTAATATTATAAATGCGAATGTTTGGATGGACGGAAAGATGTTTGTTATTGCGTATCTCTCAAAAGACTTAACTGAGGTCGAACAAATTTGGCACAGATGTAGAACTTTTAAATACGAATGTTTGTATGTATCTATAGATGGGTGCACATAATATTATTAATCCTAATTTATGGTTTTTTGTCATCTTTGTAATACAGTTAATCATTGGAAACTGAATTTCATCAAGTACACAAGCCAATTGAACCTAAAGATATGAAATCATACATCATACCGTATCAGTTCCAGCAAACAACAAACCACTTGCCATTAAATGTGCAATGTGTTCGTCGATCTCAAGTAACTTCTATAACATTCCTTTCTCGTTATCAGACTTTGTTTCAGTTTTAAATCTATTGATTGCTTCTTGGATAAAGTATTTATTCTAACTGAAAATTAAATTACAAAATGTTTATGTTAGTACAACAAAATGAAACTGCAGGACTCCAAATGTATTAAAAACATGTACTTGTTCTAAGATTTAAATTATTTTGACTCACTCTTCCAGCTTCTGCAGCACTTTCATAGTTTTCTTGTACAATTTCATAGGACACTATCTCCAAAGATTTGGTCGGAAACCTAATTTATCCACCAAGGCGAAAACCTTGTATGCACAATAAATTAGTTTTTCACGGGAGAATTATTGTCAAAAGATAGTCGACGACCGTACTTACGAGCGTATACAAAAGAGGCGGCGCGAATGACCCGTGGCGTTCGAAATTTAAGACTCACTACAACTGTCTATAGTTTTAGTCCATAATTAGAAAAATTGTGACTTGATGTAACTTCGGTTCGGTCACGCTAAAACACCAGGAGAAAATGAAGAAAATGGAAAAAATGTTCATCAGATCAGAAATACAATGTATACTTAATTGTTTCTGTTTGTTCTTCTCTTTCAGACGTATTGCTTTGTCACGAGCACATAATCACTAAGGCCTCATTTATCTATCTATCCTCAGCCTAATCAGTTTACTCTTGAGCGCTGGTTGACAAAAACTATCTGCTGTACCATGGAAACGCACATCCTGCAGCCATTGTGCAGTTTGGATACGGAGCTCGGGGTAAGTGTCAATTAAATTTTTTGTTCATAGTAATTATATTTGCTTATTTATTTAAAAAAGAAATGGACATAAACTTAATTGGATATAAAGTTACAATTAATACACATTACGGTTTTAGAGCAAGGAAGAGATAGAGCAAGGTAAAAAAATACATTCTTGGTAAAATCACTAACAATGCAGTAAGAAAAAGTTCAATATTAGATGTTGCTGGAGAGAGTATAAAAATTTTGTTAACAAAATAATTGATTTGGAAATGGAAATACTTATCAGTCGTGTTATAGAAAGCTTTAGGTTAGAATAGCCATTCTAGTATAGTAAAGACTATGAACAACTTTATTTTTAATGATGTTGACTCTTTCGGCGGTTTGCAAATTATGACTGAACATTGTTTTGGCACTCAGTTTTGCGCTCCTGTTAATTTGAAAATTCTAGACCACAAGTGTTTTTTAATAATACATATTTATAATTGATGTCAAATTTCCTAACAATTTCTATTTTTTTTAAACAATGTAAACAATAAGTGTTGTAAAAAGATTATTTTATTTCCCTTAACCTTTTTTCAATCATCGTCAGTAATGGACAGAAAAAATTGTTAGAATATTAGAGGTCTTTAAAGGTGAAGTTAAAAGGCCCCTTGACATAATTCAGTGAGCTCTGATACTGCTTCAGAGGTTCACCGAACCAATCAATTTGGAAGTTTTCCACTACTCGAGTGACCAAAGTTTCTATCTCCAACTCAGCTATGCGACGACCTGAAAAATTAGAAAAACATTTCTTGACATACTCGCCGAAAAAATAAGTTCCCTTTTCGCTGTTAAACCGCTGATCAGATTTTGATAAACCTTTGGTAGTAGTTTCTGAATCTAAGAAATATAATGAGAATTTTTAATCTAATAACATAAATCTTGTATAATAAAAAGGTTATAACAAAAGAAATGTGTCATTTGAAGAGCTAAACATACCGATACAGCTCCGAGATCCAAATCCGAAAGGCATATACGCAAACGGGTGTGCGTTTCCGTGGTACAGTGGATCTTCCTTATCTGCGATCCACCGTTCAGGAATGTACTCATTCGGCCTTGGATAGTGGCATTCCATCATAGAGAGGTATTGATGGGCAAAGGTCATCATTGACTGTAATATGTAAAATTGCAAATTGCATTGTTTGGGTTATGTTGACAAAATTTTTCAGTAAGTGCTAAACTTTTAGTTACTCGAGTTTTGTAGCTAAACTACCTACTTACATGCTTCGGTATATGGTATCCAAGAATGTTGTATTCCTTTGACGTTTGTCTAAAATTTGCCACCGCCACCGGCATAATCCTGATTGCTTCTTTTATACAAGCCTTTAAGTATGGCCTCTTTTCCGAACCTGACAATATCTCTTCTCTCAATTTATTTTGCTTTTCCGGGTTTTTTGCTAATAAATACAGCGTTGGTATTACCGTATTGGCAGTCTGCAATACATATGAGATTAAACACTAATCGCCCATATTTGAAATAAATACATTTTACCTTATATTATTCGAGATTCGAATAAATCGAATGTATGATATCTTACTAGTAATATAAATGGGAATGTTTACATGGATGGATGAATGAATGAATGGATGGATTATTATCAAGAGTTATTTTTTATAGATTGATGAATTCAGTTAGAATTGTTTCTATTAAAACGACAATTAAATATCAACATAAATTAAAACACCATACTATTGGTACGTTCTAGAACAAAACTCTTAAAATAATAAGAAGTTTCTATAGGATTACTTGTAATTAAGTAACTTCCATCTGGGGCTGGTCATGTGCTATGATGCAGAGATGCTCTTTGCCTTGCAATAATGACGATTTTCTATATTAAAGCTTAGCTGAGTGAGATAAGATTTTATTTATGAATTACGTACAACTTGTTGAGGAAAATTCTCGTTAGATCGAGGTCGTATTAATAGATATCATAATCTTATCTGATATCCAAGCTTAAATTACATATTACTTTATTTGAGTAACAATAACTAGTTTTTACTAGCGTTTTACTTAACTCTTTGCATAAAAAATAAAACAAAAATATAGAGAACATCAACAGATATCTTACCGTATCCACGCCGGCAAATAATAAATCACTGGCCATAAGGTGAGCATAATGTTCGTTAATTTCAAGTAACTTCTCTAAAATTCCTTTTTCGTTCTTTGATTCCTTATCCATTTTTTTATTTTTCAATGCTTCAGTTCCTATTTCGATAAAGTATTTGCTTAAACTAAAACATCAAGAAAATGTTAACAAAAAGAATATGAACTGCGAAATGCTTACGAGCGTGCAATTAAGGTACTTTGTTATGTAAGTAAAATTTGCTAAAAATATTCTTAAGTATTATACATTTGAACTCACTTCTCTTGATCTTCGTATAACTTCATAGCCTTCTTGTAAGATCTCGTTGGAAATATTCTCCAAAAACTCGGCTTGAAATCCAATTTATCTGATACAGCAAAAAAGTCGTGTACAATTTGAATGAGCTGCCTTACGGGGGAGTCTGCGGGTAGATTGGGGTCGAAGCAATTGAGACGATGGCCAAGCGCGACCAAACCTATAGACTCCAAAGCCCACAAGTTCATTTCGGTAGCCAAATCACTTTTCAACATGTTATTTTCATCGCGTATTGATCTCATTCTGTTAAAAAAATAATACAATTTTGTAATTAAAAATTACGTCAAGGCACGATAAAGTGTACCAATACTAATCAATTGAATCTCAACCAATTGTGGTCTTTGATTTTTTGTCCTATAACAATGGCTTACAACATCATTCATCAAATCTGAATCAAAAATTAATCTGACGTTCGAAATAAAAACATATTGTCTCTTCGTCCCTCTCCCTCCCTTTTTCTAATATAACATTGTGTTATTCTTATGATATGCTTAAACTTAGGCTGTTGAAACTGAAGAGTAATTTTTTACTCACCTTTTAATCATATCATTGGCTACGTCATCTAATATATTTGAGTACAGCTTTACAGTCTTAGGTTGGAGCAAAATCGGACTGACTGCGGATCGCAACGTCTTCCAATTTTCATCGTGACTACAAATTAATTAAAATTATATTTCAATCTCTCGTTAATTTATTTAATCACTTTCACCTGTTTCAAATTGCTACTCTGAACTGGTTCTGACCTGACTTTTTTTAAATATTTGTAACGTTCGAATACCTGCCTGCAATACAGTGCCTGCTCATACTTATTTTTCGGGATTTATGGTAAAAATTTATGCATATTATAAAAATATGTTTCCTTTTTTACAAGCTTTTATTTTGTTTATTTATTATTGGCGATGCTATACCGTCCTCTCATTCGCTCGTAGCGTGGTGTAACCTACTGTACCCTAGTACTTTCTTTGTTGTTGAAAAACCCAATATTCACTATTGTCTTATTTAAAACAATACAATATGAAATAACACTTAAAATAATTTACAATTTCGATTAATATTACAACAATAAAATAATACGATTTCAAAATTCAAAAACTAATTTAGAAACGCCGCCGTCATAGCAGATAACTTCTCTATATGTCTATTTTCTTGTATAAGTGAAGGTGACAAACGAGCAGTGGGAACAATGACGTGATCAATTACACCAATGGACATCCGCAACACCAGAGGAACTGCAGATGCGTTGCCGGCCTTTAAGGAAATGGTATGCTCGCTTTTTGAAGGACCCAAAGTCTTATTGGTTTGCAAATATCGCCGAGGACAGGCCATTCCAGAACGCGATTGTTCGAGGCAAGAAATTGCACGGCGTCATAGAAGGCATACCAGCTTTTATTTAGTTTCACCTCCCCGATGTTTGTCGTCAAATCTTGCAAATTACTTTTTTTTTCAAAAATATTGTTCTTAAATAGAAAGAATAGAAAAATAATTACTCTGTTGCTAGGCCAGACATCTCGTGTGTTACTTTTCCATGCTTTTTCTTATATTCCTTTCTGTAATGTTCCAAAGATTGAAATCCTGGTCGCTTTGGCATCAAATTTTCACTGCGTAAAATCTAAAAATTATTGTTACATAATTGTTTGTAACTGTAATGATAAAACGATCGGTAGTTAATCTTTCCAATAACTTACATGAGCTATGCTTTCAGCGTCATATAAAATTACTACATCTGGTGATCCAAAAAACCCTGGAAGTCTAGTTATTGGTCCATATGTTTTATACAATTTATCGAAGAATTCGTATCCGCCAATTTTATAAAATGATCCTGAGTTAGATGATTTAAAATTAGTATTCAGTTGAAGAAAAAACAATTTTATAGAATTTTCCACTTTATAATGGTTCTACGACTTTCTACATATCCTCACAAATAAAATATTAATCATGAGGTCTAAAACTTTTTATCATGGCAAAAATGAATACATTTATCACATAAACTTACCCATGGGAAGGAAATGATGTAAAGTTGATATGATTGGCAACTTGGAGGGACCAGGAATTTCGTCCCATGACTTCAGTGGTTGTATCGATTCAGTGGCATCGGATATAACGTTGGTTACAGACGTAACGTACCTGAATATAACTGTTATATAGATATTTAATTGTGTAAACAGATGAACCTACATTAATCGACCATTGAAAAGTAACACGTATGCTAATACATCAATCAAAAAAGCAATATATGAATCGTATGTATTTTTGTAGGAACTTATCAGATGGATTGTGTGAAAGAGGATATGCGTAGGAAGGGGGTAGATTCAGATATGACTGTTGATAGAGATGTATGGAGTAGTACAAACTGTGCCTACCCTTCGTAGGGATAAGCGCAGGTTGCTGACGATAAGAACATATTAAATTAAATTAGCATATTAGTTATCAGGGAGCGACGGGCCGCGTCCGCGAAATAATACCAGTCCCACTCACCTTGAAGGGTCCCCGATGGGGTCGAAACTAGTCGGTGCGTCACCGGACGAATATACGTCAGTGTTTAGCCGTTTTTATATAAGTTTATGATAAGAACATATAATCCAATAGAAAAAAGAATTCATATTATGCAAGTATTAACAAAATATTCTTACCTCGCATTATTAAGAAGACTAACAGAATTTAGAACTGGTCTTAACTTCGACGTCAGCATTGTTATTGTACTAATTTTTCTATCTAAATTACACTAAATCGTATGTATAAGCAAAAAACAATTGTAAATACAAGATTAGATCAAGATATTATCATGAATTAAATTGGGTTTTTTTTATAATACCATATGAATCGACGCTCCAACATCCAGTAACGATTGTTGGATGAATCAAACCTTGATATAACTGTTTACGCACACACATGAATAGATTTAAATACTGCTCTCTGCCGGAACACCTGTACAAAAATATATTGCCATCCCTGTTTCTTCAAAGAGAATGATAAGGATGACTATAACCAGTGGAAATAATCTCAAATATAAAAATAAAACACTGCGATAAGAATAGTAAAGTAATGGTGACACGTCATATTTTTATCATACATCATATTAATCATACTAATATTTTAACTGGGAATTTTTGGATGGATGGATGGATGGACAGATGTTTGTTACTGCGTTTCTCCCGAACGGTGTAACGGATGTCGATCAAATTTGGTACGGATTTAGAACATAGTCTGATAGAACACATAGGATACTAAGATATTTTTTTTTAATTCCGCACGGACGAAGTCAGGGGCAAAAGCTAGTGTTGTATAAAATATTTAGCGTCTGTTTAAATTTCGTTCTTTGGGATGTTTTATAAAATCTTGTTTTTAAAACTAGAAATCAAAGAATACCTCAATAGGCTGCTTTACATGACGAGAATGTCCTTGATAGGGATGTCCATAAAAATAAAAAACTGTAATATTATAATCAAAATATATTTATTAATTTACATTAAATATAAATAAAAAGAAAACATTTGGGTACAAAATAATTTAACGATATAAATTATCCAGATGTTCTTAGTCATTCACGATTGTGGTATCCAACACCATAGTTTTTAAAATCGGTCAATTACAATTAAAGTGCTTGCAAATTAGGTATACATGTATTGACATATAAAAACTTATTTTAACTTTAAAAATGAATTAACATTGTACATCCTTAAAAATAAAATTATACGGGGCTTGGACACAATTCAAAGTGCCGTGATATAGCTTCATGGGTTCACCAAACCATTGGATGTGAAAATTCTGTATGATGCGAACGACCAATGTTTCAATCATCAGTTCGGCTAAGCGGCGACCTGTAATGTAATCTTGCCATTAATCCATAATATATAATCGGAAATAGATTAAAAACTGTAAATTATTTTTCCAAGAGCACCAAATTGTCCTCTGCACAGCATTATGCTTCACTAAAAACTACGACATAACGTTTAATTTAAAAAAGAGACCACATAACACCGTTCGAATCACGAACGGAACTGTAACGGGGTTAACGGACTATCAAAATGAGACGGGACTAGGGGGGGGCTACGAATTAATAAAATTATACTGCCAAATAAACACCAAGTTTCAGAAGTCAGTTAAAAACAGAATGATTTTAATTTTTTTTTATAATAATAAGTAAAAATAAAAACAACACTGAAACATTGAACATATGAGTTGGTAAGCTTAGTTAACAATAACACAACGCACCGATGCAACTCCGCGCACCAAATCCGAACGGGCTATATGCAAACGGGTGAGCATTTCCATAGTACAAGGGATCATCCTTATCCGCCAACCAACGCTCTGGAATGTATTCCTTCGGTCTTGGATAGTGACATTCCATCATCGATGTGTACTCATGAGCGAATATGAAATTTTTCTAAAAGATTGTCATTTAAGAAATTTATTTGGGGTGTTTTTTACTTAATCTGTATATCGTACACGAGTACGATGATGACGACATTATCGTTATCATCACCATCATTGCCAACAACACTAATCACCATAATTATTATCAGTATAAAATTCACAATTATGGTTTTTGGTTTTTAATACTAATATTATAAATGCGAATGTTTAGATGGATGGATGTTTGAAGGTATCTCCAAAATGGCTGAACGGATAGCTGAAACTTGGCATAGAAGTAGAACATAGTCTGGAAGAACATAAAGGTATTTAAGAAAATCTTGATTTGTAATAATTTAAAAAAAACTTACATGTTTTGGTATATGGTAACCAAGGATGTTGTACTCCTTAGAAGTCTCCCTCGTATTTGCTGAAGCTACTGGCATTACTCTCATCGCTTCTTTTAAACATGCCTTCAAATATGGCCGCTTTTCAGAACCAGACATTATCTCTTCTCTCAATTTCCTTTGCTTTTCTGGATTCTTTGCCAGTAAGTATAATATAAGTATTACCGAATGTGACGTCTGTAATAAATTAACTTAGCTATTAACTGAAAAACAAACATTTCGCAGTAAATCTGCAACTGCTTTAAATCAATCGCGCGCCGTGTACTTAGCGACCAAAATCTAAGAGTGGTAGAACCCGCTTTAACATCTTCGCACGAATTGGCCAGGTTCTCCCGGTGAAATACCACCACCACACAGAAGACAGGCGTGAAGTGGAAGCAATTCCGCGTTTCGTCTGATGAGTGTGCCTCCCGGAGGCCTAATTTAGTCCTCTTTCCCTTCCCACCCTTTTCTTTTAAGGAAAGGATGGAAAGTTGAAGTGGACTTTCCGAATGAGAGGATGCATGGAAAGGGAAAATATTTTCTTTCTGTGCATCCTCTCCTCCGTCGATTAAAGGTAGGCAACGCATATGCATTGCGCATGTCTATGGGCAACGGTCACTTCGCTACTTTAGCGATTTCAGGTGGCCGCTTGCTCGTTTGCCACCTTATGATATAAAAAAAAATCACCTGGTTTCAAAGATTTACGTAGCCTTGTGTATAAAGAGCTACTTTTTACTTGTATTATGAATGCGAATGTTTGTATGTAGGGATGGATATATTCGAATAATACTATTTTTCTTAATTTAATTTAACGTTATTTTATATTAATTATCAGAAACTCAATTACATCCTATTGTTCACCTAGTACACAAGCTAATTGAATTTAAAGATATGAAATCATTCATCATACCGTATCAGCTCCGGCAAACAACAAATCGCTTGCCATTATATGTGCAATGTGTTCGTCGATCTCAAGTAACTTCTCTAACATTCCTTTCTCCTTATCAGACTTTGTTTCAGTTTTTAATCTATTGATTGCTTCTTGGATAAAGTACTTATTCACACTAAAATTAAAATTACAACAAAATATTAATGTTAGTACAATAAAACTGCGTGACTCCAAATGTGTTAAAGCATGTTGTTTTTAAGAGTTAAATTATTTTGACTTACTCTTCTAGCTCTTGAAGCACTCTCATAGTTTTTTTGTACAATTTCGTAGGATACAATTTCCAAAGATTTGGTCGTAAATCTAACTTATCTACCGAGGCGAAAGCCTCGTGTGCATAATAAATTAGTTTTTTCACAGGAGAATCTGCTGGTAGATTAGGATCAAAGCAATTAAGGCGGCCGCCAAGAGTCACCAACGCAATCGTTTCCATGGACCACAGTGCCATTTCGTGTCCCAAATCATTCTTTAACAGGCCGTTATCATCTCTAGCTGATTTAATTCTGCAAAATACTCCAATTATTATAATAAAATTACAAGCCATTTTCGTATCGACTTGATTTTTTTTAGAGACGTCGATATAAAAATTTCGTCAAAGTCTATGGTTGAAAATTTTCATTTAAATCCGGTATAGTCAAATACCAAAAAGAAACATGATGTATTCTCTATGAATACTAACTATATTAATACAATAAACAAAGTCGTATAACTTATAATACCTTTCAACCACTTCACAAGCTACTTCATCTGTTGTGGCTGCGTACAACTTTATTGTCTTGGGTTGCATCAGTATTGGATTGACTATAGAACGCAACTTTTTCCATGCCTCTCCGTGACTTTAAATAAAAATAAAGGTTTTGATTACTGTGTATATTGACCAGACTAGAGTAATAGTGTATTCTAAAACCGTTTAGATCTTATATACGTTATAACAATGGTTCTGCTTAATATATGATAATATAATGAATGCAATATTCAAGTAAGAAAATAGAAACTTTTGCGTACAATCATTATTTTCCAAGAAAACTGTTTCTTGGAAGAATAATGATTGTATGCAAAAGTTAATAATAATTACTGAATTATGCTTAAACTTACTCAGATCCTAATCCTGTTATTTCGGGTATTATTTCTCCTTTCTTTTTCTTATATACCTTTCTATAATGCTCCAGAGATATAAACCCAGGTCGCTTTGGCAAGTAATTCTCATTTCGAAGAATCTAAAATTGTTTTAATATGTTAATTTTATAAAACATTTATTAAATGTTAATATGTTATTAAAATAATTTTATGTTAATTTTGGAGTAAATAGAACCAAAATGTATCATTCATAATATCCTGAGAAGACTAACGTTCGCGTAATCGTATCAGTAAAGCCATTTTACCAAAATGATTGATTTATTTCATTGAAACATTTGTTATGGCAACATTCCGGTCAAATAGTTATTTTGTGTACGATCTTATTATTAATTTTTGTAAATATTAAACGTCGGTGGCGTATTTGTTAAGCGTTAAACTGGACCAGACCGAAATCTAAAACGTCCAGGTTCGATCCCCGCTGTGAGTTTTTCGATTTTCGAATTTTGTATGTACATTTATCCGATGTTTTTACAGTGAAGGAAGACATAGTGATACAGCCTGCACATATCGCAGAATAAATTCAAAGTTATGTGTGAACGGGGTGGGTAGGCCATTGCCAATCTTCACTAGGCCAGCGTGGTTGCCTATAGCCCGGTCACCCTTAAATTGAATTAGCTCCGAGCCCCTTGATGGGGACTGACAACGAAAATATTAATGGATAAATTACATTGCCAATGCTTTCGGTGTCAAACAACATAACATAGGTCTGCGCTCCAAATATCCCGGGAAGCTTCACAATTGGTCCATATGTTTTGTACAGCTTGTCCATGAGGCTATACCCGCTTAGATTATACAGAGAACCTAAAAAACAATTTGTACCAATGCTGGTTACTCGTTATTTTTATATTACATTATCCAAGTCCATTTCTTTTTAATTATCACCATATTCTTGAGACATTTCTACAGTCAAAGAATTAAGTTTGCTTCACACTTAAGATCAAATCGTGCATGTTCACCAAAAGAGTTACCACGTATGTATGTTGCTAAAACAAGTTTTCGACCTAATTACATTGAAAACATCAAATGATCTCGAAATGAGTAGCTAGATAGGAAATAAAGGTCCTTGACAGTATATATAATTTTACCTAAGGGAAGAAAGTGATGTAATGATGATATGATTGGCAGCTTCGACGGGCCAGGAATTTCATCCCATGATTTTAGTGTTTGAGTTGCTTTAGTTGCATTAGAAGTGACATTTACAGTTGCAGTAGACACAAATCTAGAACAAAACGTATTTATCGTGTCATATCGAGGAGTACGTTTCTTAGTATCGCCTCATTTTGAACACGAAAAGAATAACGCCCTATTCACTCCAGATATTTTAAACACATATTTACATCAGTAGATTTCCAAAGTACAAAACACTTTCAAATTAAAAACAGGCTAAAATAAATGTAAAAAGTGAACAAAGTAGATAGAACTTACTTTGCATAATTAAAAACTTTATCAGTCAATTTCAGAAACGGTTTTAAATTTCCTCTTTTAATTGTTTTCGTAATGATGTCAAAATAAACGACCATTTTGAACAACCACTTCTATATTAGTCGAATGGTTGTTCATTGTTAATTGTAATAAATATTATCAGGACTGAAAAAACGACACGATATACTTAAAGCCAGTTACACACTTAACTGAAAAGTCGAACTGTTCAGTTAAATATGTATTATGTGTGTAGAGTAAATCATAACTGTAGATTAAACTACAGTTCTCTGTTTATCCTATACACTTACGCTTAACTGAATTTTCAGACTAATTATAACTGTGCAGTTTAAGCTAAAAGTGTGTGGCTGGCTTAAGCGTTTTTTGTGTTTTTTTCTGTTTTTTTGTGTGTTTCTGTAATACCAGTTTTTGATAATTGAAACCTCGTTACACTTAACATACACAGAAACTAAAATATTGTTGTATAATCTAAAAGTATTAAGCACTAACAGTGGCCCGCGACTTCGTTAGCGCAGAATTAAAAAACTAGCCTGTAATATGCCCGCGTTCATTAGATACCTGTGAAAGTTCTTTGTAGGTTATCAGTTCTGGAGATTACAGACGCGCCTTGCGGCCAGACATACAGAGAAACAGACATTTTTTAATTGGTTTTTCGTTATCAACTACGCAAATAAATTCATTATGTGTACGAAATATAATTTATTTTCGATATAAAACACAGATAATTTTAATCATATGTATTATACTTATATGTATAAGGAGTATGGATAAATAAAACAGACAAGTAAAAAGTACTGCACACCGAGGTTTTTTTTAATAAAGAAATTGTAAAAAGATTTTGAGTAATATTTATTTAAAACTTTTCTTTTACTTAACAATTAAGCAGATTTATAAAATACTAGCTGTCACCCGCGACTCCGTCCGCGTGGAATTAAAAAAGAACATTATTAGTAGCCTATGTGTTCTTCTAGGCTATGTTCTGTATGTATGCCAAATTTCATCAAAATCCATCCATCCATTTAAACATTCACATTTATAATATTAGTCAGATCCGTTCAGCTGCTCAGAAGATACGTTATGACTATAAGATCCATCCATCTATCCATCCATACATCTAAACATAAGCATTTATATTATTAGTAAGATTACCTCGTAATTTGCAAGTAATTTTCCAAAGGTAATTAAACATGTAATGAATACTTATCTTTACATTTTGTTTGTCAGTTGTATTGCAAAAGTGAGTCATATTTTATAATACGATGATAGAAAGTGTTTAAACCTGTTCATGGAACATTCCTAAAATGTTCATAATTTCATTAAATAAATTAAAAAAGAGAAATTTTAAAATATTTAAGGTTATTCACCAAGACCAGATATAAAATGATCCAACAAAGAAAAATGATTCCCCTTTCGAAAGTAAATCAGTCGCAATAATCGTATAGCTGGCGGTGAGCGTAATTTGGCCCTTGTCCTGCAAGTTACGTGCCTCAGTAGTTCACAGACGTGACATAAATTTAAAGATACCCAAAGGAGCCGGTCGACTGTGAAATCTTTAGAACTGTTCCCTATCTTAGTGGACTTTTTGTAGAGCTTTGATAAATCCTGTGATTGGAAAAAGTCATAGTTTTCCTGTATCCGAAATTTTTCAAAGACGACTTATCCCTTTGTTAGAGTAACTAGATTTAAAATAAAGTTATTTCGTCCCATACTTTTACGGTGACACTGCACTACGGTATTTGCCTGGTTTAAAGCAATATGACCATCGCTCCTTATTCTCTTTTATGTAATGTACCTATTTATCACAACACGTGCTTAGATAATGACTACTTATAATATTTACAAATTCCTCCCATCAGCGCTGACGTCTCCGGCTTCGTATCCGTTTAGGCATACTTCCATGTATTATCAAAAGATGCAAATTTAATTTCTATTTATTTAATATTATTTTATAGTACCTATATTTAATATTAGCAATTTTAGTGTTACACTTAATTTGCAGTGCGATCCGTATATAATTCGAATATACATAGTTTTATAAATAGGGGCACCGTCACGATCCCTCTTGTTTTTACCGAAAATGTTTTCGGAAAGTCTCTATAGAGTTGCCCGTCAGCAGTAAATAACTCTGATATCAAAATACTCCTACCTTTAATCAGAGGTCATTTTAAGTGCGGCTTCTTGCAAAAATAAATTTTCATACTAGCAGCCCGAGGCAAATTATTACCATGAGATAATTTACAAAAAAACAACGAAATTAAACATTTCTGCTTCTTATGAAATTTTCACAACTTAGTTATCAAGAGAAGATAATTATGCATAACAGTTATAAACCATTCAACTTTGATAACCTCAGTTATTGATAAGGGTAACAACTCTAGTAATGGTTGTAAATACAGTTGTTTTCAAATATCTTGGCGGCTCAAGGTCAGCGGGGCGCTGTGCAGCGCATTCCTGCCCGCCATCCCGCTACGCCTAATATATCTGATATAAGAAGCCGCCAAGATATCTGAAAACGAATATACAATATTTTTAAAGTGAAGTTAGCTGCCCAAATACCCTGCATATAGTATCCAAAGTGAGCGAGACAGATGCATAAATAAACAACGCGCACAACAGTGACAACAAATATCTCCCGCTTCTCTCTTGTCAGTTGTGGACTAACTTCGTATACATTAGAATTTGGAGCTAGTTAAATACAAAACGTAGTAGCAATACAGTATGTTATAAACTATACTGTTGTGAAAACGTTTATTATTATACAAATATGGAAGGTAAGAAAATTCTTTCTAGTAGTGTGATACGTAAGATGCGCTTATTAGTTTAATAGACTACATTTTTAATCGATGAACAGTTCACACAATACTTTGTTACTTTTAGAAATTAAAAACGTGACCCATGCTAACGGCACAGTAAGCGTACAGTTTGGTGGACAGTCAATAGAATTCGAGAGTATTTGGCTCAGAGATCATTGCAGGTATACTGTTTAATATATTATTATAATAGATATAATTATTTATTAGAAATTACCAATCTACCCTATTCCCCGTCACTACTAAATTCATATGACAAAACCTCAAAAACTTCTAAGATCGATATACCATTGTCGCTCTTAAAACTTTGAGGTTTTGAGTACAAGTTTAGAAACAGCGCATAGGAATTGGAACTGAGTTGAAAATACGAGTTTACATATATTTGGTATTTTCCAGGTGTTCAAAATGCTATCGCTCCGATACATTCCAAAGAGTGTGGCATATATTGGAAATACCAGACTCAAAAATTGCTGTGCTAACATTTGATAAGGATCACATTTATGTCACTTGTCGGTAACTTTTTTTTAAACGTAAACTTAAACAGAATCACAATATACAGGAATAAATTAAATGAATTCGTGTTGTTTATAGGGGATGATGATCATAAATCTATTTATAAGTCTGATTTCTTAATACAATTCGATTACAAAACATGGAAAAACAAACTCAGACGTAAGCCCGTGTTGTGGTATGGAAAAAAAGTGGCTGAGAACATCGCAAGAATTTCGTGCAATGATTTCCTAAATACTAAAGATGGCGCTAGTGCAGTATTTAAGTCTATATTGGATTATGGGGTTGCCTTAATAGAAAATGTGAGTTATTTTGCTATTATTTCCAAAAAAACATAAAATTTGCAAACATCTGCGAATGTGTAAAAAAAGTCGACTCGCAAATTAAAAGATTAAAATATTAATCTTATAATATCCACAATGACTAAAATATTTTTACGGAATTAAAAACTTTGTATGTTTTTAATCCCACGAAGTCTCGAGCAAAAGCTAAATAGATGAAAATATGCAAATTGTATAAGGTACCCCGCCACTTCTACAAGCGCAATACGTCGAATTCAAAATAAATATTTGTCTGAAATTGAATTAAATTCAATCTACAAATTGAAATAACCACATTGCGGCCAAAAAGTTTTAAAAATTTGCAAAATATTCAGCCAATAAATATTAATTTTCCATCAGAACAGAACAGAGTGAAATAATTATAACGCACGTAATTGCGGTCGGCAGGCCTCAATTATCGGTATAATTGGATAACAAAAACTCGGGGAATTCGGGTAAAATTTTATTTGCAAAGGTGATTTTTCATACACTCTTCTGTCAGATTAATTGTTCTCCCTTAACAATTTTAAAATAGTCATTCACTTAAGTGTTAAGTTATAAAACTGAAATAATATATTAGAATAGATGATATTAGTTGCAGATGAAAAGTATTCCGATTTATACAAAATGAAAGCTGGATAATAAATGGAAAAAAATAACGATATTCATCAAACTAATTGTATACTTTCTCGTTTCAAAGCCAAAGAAAACTTCATTGGCAATTGCAGTGATATCGATAAGCTGCAACGTGCTATAAGTTTTTAATTAAACTTGTATCCGCTTGCAGCAACAGAAGTAGAGTCTTTTATACTTTGTTATTCTTACGGTAGATTTCCACCGCAGAACACACACGTGCAAAAAATATATGTTATCATGGCTTTTTTCAAAGAGACTGGGAGGATGATTACTTTTTGTACGACTATATTTTTTTTTTTTTTTTTATAATAGAAGGGGGCAAACGAGCAGCGGGAACACCGAAGTGTTCAACGACGCCCATGGACATCAGCAATACCAGAGGAACCGCAGATGCGTTGCCGGCCTTTGAGGTGGTGATAGGCTCGCTTCTTGAAGGACCCTAAGTCGTATTGGTTTGGAAATACCGCCGAGGACAGACCGTTCCACAACGCGGCTGTGCGAGGCAAGAAGTTACGCGAGAATCGCACCGTTGTGGAATTCCAGCCATCCAGGTGGTGTGGATGGAACCTGGCGGTCTGTCGTGTCGTCCGATGACGGAACTCGGCGGCAGGAATCGTTCCAAACAATTCTTCAGAGCACTCCCCGTGGTATATGCGGTAGAAAATGCAGAGGGAACTAACGTCCCTCCGCAGCGCCAGAGTGTCGAGCCGATCAGTAAGAGCTCGGTCGTTGACGATTCGAATCGCTCTCCGTTGTATGCGGTCAAATGGAAGAAGCTGATACTGGGGTGCTCCCGCCCAGAGATGCGAGCAGTATTCCATGTAGGGCCGAACTTGCGCCTTATACAGCTGGAGGCGGTGGCCCGGTTGGAAATACTGCTTCGCTCTGCTGAGCACACCCAGTTTTTTGGAGGCCAGCTTGGCCTTGTCTTCCAAATGACCGCGAAACTGAACGTCATTCGATATGTCAACGCCGAGAATACTGATACTGGCTGAGGCAACCAGGGGAGTGCCCTCGAAACGAAGATCTACGACAAAGGGCTGTTTTTTTATCTCTATATATTGGGCGTGGACTTTATCAAACGGTTATACTTCTAGGACAAAAAAATCACTATTAATTTTTCAGGTTGATGCAACAGTGGAGGCCACTGAAGATATATGCAAAGCATTAGGAGGCGTACAACACACGATGTTCGGAGGCATGTGGCTTGTACATACTAAATTTGACCACGCAGACACCGCTTATACTAACATACCACTAGCGACTCATACTGATAATACTTATTTCACTGAGGCAGCTGGGTAAGAATATACTATAATAAAGTTAGTTCAAAATATTAATTTAAAAAGTCTAACGAAGATTAATGGACTTACCACTGTGGATGCCTAGATTCGAATGGTAATATCATGGGAACAAAGTATACGATCGTAACACATGTTATTTAATTTGCCATTTTGTTCTCAGACTACAGATTTTTCAAGGACTAGAACACACTAATGGTAGCGGCGGTGAAACGATACTGGTCGATGGTTTTTACGGTGCACAACGTTTGAAAGAAGAATATCCCGAGGATTATGAATTTCTTACGACATTTGAAGTTGACGCTGAATATTTAGAAGACGGTCATCACCACAGATATTCCGCACCAGTTATTATCCTTAACGAAAACAAAGATGTTAAACAAATAAGGTACCTAACATTATCCAAAACTCACTGCATTGTATGTTTACATAATGACTGGTTCATTTGGCCTCCCGGACTTTGTCCTTTTTAAATGCATTATGTGGCTATTACTAATAGATCAAAGCTAACTTTGATATATTATGAAATATGTAGTAATAAGAATATATTTTCTATGTTTGTAGGTTTAACGTTTACGATCGTACTCCAATGGCTTTCGCTAGTCGTAAACAATGTAGAGCTTATTACCGAGCGCTGAAACACTTATCAAAATATTACGAAAATCCCTCAAATCAATGGAAGATAAAACTTACTCCAGGTAAAGATATGTATTTAGATGTCCAGCGTTGAAACAAGAAACAAAGAGCCAAACATAATAATCATTTTTGAGAATAGATACTAATCAAATTTTATAAATTATCTATTAATAGCTCATGAAATTTGTTCGCAATAAAATGTGTTTAAATCCCACAGGTGTTGTGATAGCAATTGACAACTTTCGAGTACTACACGGTAGAACCAGCTTTACTGGCAACAGAGTGCTTTGTGGTAGTTACGTAGCGCGGTCAGATTGGTTAGACAAAGCGCGTACATTACAACTTATCGAGTAATTTCAATAAATCTTTAAAGTATGGTATAGTTTTTTTGATCCTCTCCTTCTTGGTTAACTTTTTAATTGGGGTTCCTGGTACATTGAGTTGGAAACACTGGATTTCGACAATAGATAGAAAAATTGGTTCTGAAAATAAACACATTTAATTAAAAAAATTATAACGCCCAAAAATAAGTTTTGACGTGAAGGTCTCGTTACCAGGCCATAAAAAATATTGCAAAAAAAACTACATGACATCACATGTCACTGTCAACAGTCAGTGTTTATCGTGTCAATGTCAAATCACGGGCTAGAACGACAGTCATAACCTAGTTAAAATTGCATTATTTTATAATTTAATAAATAAAATGATACAAATTTAGCCTTACGAAACTAAGTACAAATAATTTCAGAAAGAAGCTATTAAAGCGATTGTTGTAATCATTTCGTTAAATACCCAAATTTTTATTTTTTGTTTTATAAAATAAATCTTCAGTTATACTCACGATATGAAAATCTCTGAGGTACATATATTACACTTAAATATGTATGAATGTATCATCATACATATAATTCCTTTTTTTATAATATCTTGTTATTATTCATATTTCAATTAATGCAGCTTCCAGGTGATGAGGAGTCGGGCTTGACATGCCGCACATATGTATTTCAAGATGAAAGTCACACATTAGGCAATGCATTAAAATGTATAATCAATAGATAGTAAGTATAATGCATCTAATAAAACGTGTTTACCTTTCTATGATTAATTGATTAACTGTCCAACCACTTTTAAATTTAAATAGATAATACAATATTATTGTTTCTGAAAGAGTAATGTTACCAAGTTACTGATGTCCATGGGCGTCGTTCCCGCTGCTTGTTTGCCCCCTTCTATTATAAAAAAAAACCTTATAAATTGAAGCTTTCATGATAAGGGAAAAAAAAGGATGTGTACAACTAATACAATTATCTCAAACGCATAATTAAAATTATCTAAATATTGGAAACCTTTTTGGCCACAGTTAAAAATCAATCTTTTGATTTTTCGTCATTTTATTTTTTTCAGTGACGACGTTGACTTCTGTGGATACACAGTACCACATCCAGCGGAATCTAAAATGCATTTCAGAATACAGACTAAAGAAACACCAGCACTCGAAGTGTTAAAAAGAGGTCTCAAAGATTTGCAAAAAGTTTGTGATCACACAATCGATCTTTTTGAAAAAGAAGTAAAAGAATTTAATAAAACTTAGCAATTTTCCTTTTATTTTTAATATTTTTTTTAATTCTCATAAGGTATTACCCAAAAACTTTTAGAAAATGCACATGCACTGTTTATGTGGTAGCTGTTCACCTGTAATGATACTGAAATTTTAATCAAGTATAAGCATGACTGCAGTCCACAGCATTCTTTGTATATAAAGCTTAGTGTTTAAAATACTAGCTGACGCCAACAACTTAGTCTGCGTGAAATAAAAAAAAACAATAGTAGTCTGTGTTCTTCCAGTCTATGTTCTATATTCGTGTCATATTTCGTAGAAATCTGTTGAGCCGTTCTGAAGATCTTATATCTTCAAAAACAACCATCCACTTAAATATTCGCATTTACAATACTAGTCAGATTAGTAGTGCTACAGCCAAGCTGCTCTAGATCATGCTTACATCTATAGTGAGCAAAAGGCAGTTTTTTCCCGGTTGATGTAATGTAGCAAACACAGAGGGCTAATTAAGAAGGCTTTTTTTTAATTAGTTTAGTATGATTTGATAAAAGTTTTAATAAATAAACAGAGGGCGTTAGTGTACTATAATGACCATATTTTATTTAGTATTATATTCTATGTACTCTTTGATAATTACTGCAATTTTAGTTTATTAAGCAAAGTGAGGCACTATATGTTCCTAAAACACATATTTTTTGCTGCTTTAAAAGAGAGCAATAATTTAAATAAGAGAGCTTTCGTAATTTGACTACACTGGACTTGAGTTATTACATTTATCGCGATACTGCAGGCCACAAAGATTTTAATTCATCGAAGTTTTATTTTATTAATATTTTTATTCATAAAACCAACACAATCGCACGAATAATATTTCAAGCGTTTGCAAAGTTTTCTCTATTAAAAGATATAAAATCGATATTGTGAAATCGATTAAAGAATCGACTCAAAACCGACGCTCGATCTTGGCTGGATCGATCCAAAATCGCTCGGCGACTTTTCTTTTTCAGCCATTTTGTAATTGACCGTCCTACTGTCTGCACAGTTCTACGTAAGTGGATAAGTTGTTTTATTTCATATTTTATTTTACTTATTAAGCTCATTTTTAACTTTTCAGATATTCAATATAGTGCCTGGTCATATTTTAAATGTAATTTCAACAGTAATACAAAATTATTTGAACAAAGTAACCTTAATAACACGTGGTCAATTTTATGATGAAACGCTAACTTAATTCATTCGTGGTATCTACTATAGTGTTTTAACACTGTGATAGCCTTTAACGCGTCTGATTATTAAAATTAACTAACTATATATCCAAATAGAATTAAAATGTCCAAGCTAATAAATCTATCAATTTCGATTCAGAATGGCGGACGCAGCTCCAGCCGGTGGACGTGGCGGTTTCCGCGGTGGCTTTGGTTCTCGTGGTGGTGATAGAGGTCGCGGCGGTCCACGAGGCCGGGGACGTGGTCGTGGACGCGGCCGCGGTCGTGGCAAAGAAGACCAAAAAGAATGGGTGCCTGTCACCAAACTGGGACGCTTAGTGCGCGAAGGAAAAATTGACAAGCTCGAGAGCATCTACCTATTCTCCTTGCCTATCAAAGAATTCGAGATTATCGACTTCTTCCTCGGTGCTTCTTTGAATGATGAGGTACTCAAGATCATGCCAGTACAGAAGCAAACTCGTGCCGGTCAACGCACCCGTTTCAAGGCGTTCGTTGCCATCGGTGACAACAACGGCCACATTGGTCTTGGTGTCAAATGCAGCAAGGAAGTAGCAACAGCTATCCGAGGTGCAATCATCCTCGCTAAGTTATCTGTCCTCCCAGTCCGCAGAGGTTACTGGGGTAACAAGATTGGAAAACCACACACCGTACCATGCAAGGTAAATTTATTTTGTCTTTATTTATGTAAAATATTTTCAATATATCTGTTTATATTCTATTCAGATTATAAACAAAAATATCTTCTATGATGAAACCAAAATCATTTCATTCGTGGTATCCTCTTGAGGTTTTTCCTATGAAGCTTTATATGCGTCTGATTGTAACTGATATATTTAAAGTTATTGTTGTAAAGTATGGGAAATTCTAATTTATTTGCAATTATTTCAGGTCACTGGAAAGTGTGGATCTGTCACCGTAAGGCTGATCCCAGCTCCTCGTGGTACTGGTATTGTGTCCGCTCCAGTTCCTAAGAAGCTGCTTCAGATGGCTGGTGTACAAGACTGCTATACATCAGCTCGTGGTTCCACTGGTACACTGGGTAACTTTGCTAAAGCCACTTATGCGGCTATTGCAAAGACCTATGCTTACTTGACACCTGACTTGTGGCGTGACATCCCACTGACCAAGTCACCATATTCGGAATTAAAAGTTTAAAGAAACTCAAAAATAAAAGTTTAAAAAGTTACATTTCATTTTTTATTTCAAATCCTTATTAACTAGACAATATTGGTTCAGTATTTTTTGTTTTTAAGCATCTATCCAAATTTAAATGCTAAACTGTGTAACATTCTTACAATGAAACAAACTTTTATTGGAATTAAATTTATTTAAACACAGTTTACAGTATGTATTTTATACATGTCATGGGAATTATCATAAACAACAAAAGGAAATGGCAAACCTTGCAGACCATGACATGCTGCCCCATATTCCCCATCTTTGTTCAAAGCTATTACAGCTCCCATAAATTCAGGATAATGTTTTTCAATCCTTCTTATTGCAGTCTGTGCAGCATCTGTTGGTGATGATCCACGACGCATTTCTTCTACAGCTAGAAAACTAGAAAAGCAATATATTAAGGCCTATTTATTTATTCTATAGTGATATCAATCTTTCATCCAACCGTCAATCCAGCAGAAAAATGTTTAATGCAATATTCATCTTAAATTCCTTGACTATTATAACTACCTGGGTAAAAATCTTAACATAATGTCCCCATCTCCTGTAGCTGTAGCTGCACCTACTTCATTATCGGCGTAAGCACCAGATCCTGGTATCGGTGAATCACCAACCCTCCTGAAAAGTTTTAAAACTCATATTACTGGAAACAAAGAGATGTACTTGAAGGAAAATGTCACAAAAGTTTAAACTAAATATTTGATTGAACTTGTTGATAAATACCCAGGTATTTTGAATTTAGCTCCATTTGTTGATGTTCCAGCAGCTATATCTCCATTCTTATCAATTGCCACCATGCCGATTGTGTCATGATTATACCTGTCCACTTCCATATGTCGTATTCTTTCTTTGGACATGTGATTATGATATGGCCCACAGTATTTGTTAGGATTTGGTTTGACATTCTGTGATTAGATAAAATTATTGAAGTGTTTAAAAGTATTGTTAGTAATTATTATTGAAGTATCTTTTCAATTTACCATCCAAAAGTTTGGTTGGCAGTTATTTTCATTAGCCCATGTAGACCAAAGCTTTTTTGATTCAGGAGTAGTTAAAGACTCCTCATGGAACCCCATTTGCATGGCAAATTGTGTAGCTTGACTTCCAACCAATATTGAGTGTTTTGTGTTTTCCAAAACATGTCGAGCAACACCAACTGCATTCTTTATCCTGCGTAATGCACCTACAGCACCCACATTCATTGTCTTTCTGTAATATAAAGTTAATGTGTAATTTATTATGCTTATACATAAATTAAATGAACATTAATTGTAACAAGACAGTTTTGCAGGTTTGAAAATTTAATAATAAATTATGTGTGTTTTAAACATTTACTAAATAAAATGAAAATACCCATCCATTAAAAGAGCATCCAAAGTAGTCTCACCATCTTCATCTGGGCTTCCCCCAAAGCCCACAGTACCGTCACATTGTTGTTCCTCACAAACTGAAGCACCTTTCTGTATGGCATCCAGAGCAATACCACCATCCTTTAATACTTCCCAAGCTGAGAAAAAAGAAACATAAAATACCCTTACATCTTGTTTAATTTACTTAAATAAAAATATTTACCAGCAACTGAAGCATTGACGAAAGTCCAAGTTGTTATAACTATAGGTTTACTTGTAGTGCAGTTTGTGATGAAAGTTAAAAATATTAACAAAATTAAAAGTTTTAGATTTTTCTCATGCATTTTTTTAGAATGTAACGCGAACCAAATATTTCAACATTTAACTACAAAATTGTTAAAAATTTATCACATACTATAAATATTATGAAAATTGGCTAGTTATTTCGCCTATATAATCGGAAGAATGTTAATAAAAATTGGTTACTTATTTAAGAAATTTTATCATCAACAACTAAACGTTTCTTTAAAATATACAGGTGATAAGAACTGTGATTACAGTTTGGTTATATTTTATTTTGTTATTGATTTATGTTTAGAGTTTGACAAGAGTTGCCAACAACTCCGAACTCCTGTATTCATTGTTTAATTCAAAGTATATAAAAAAAATATTAGTCAAAGGGCTGAGGTAGCTCAAAAGTTACATAAACGTATTATTTTACATACCGAAGTCTTTAATGAGGTTTTTATTTACAAACAGGTAGGGTTAGTGATAAATAAATGTGATTATCAAAACTTAAAATGGCAACTTGGGCCGAGTACTGCCGCTCTCTCACTGGTTAATGGACGCTGTCAAGATGACACTATTAGTTCACCTATTTCCGATTGGCACTGCCACAAGATGTCAAGATGTGCTTGTTGAATTTGAATTGCATGTCAAATTTAGCAAAGCCAAGGCCCGAACTAAACTTGTTTTAATTATAGTGAAGATTGTTTCATGTAAAAAATGAATATTTTAAATGACATGAATCAATTTTGTCATGCGCTACCAAAAATTGTAAGTATCATAATAAATTACACCCCCTAATAATTATATAAACATTTTATATGGCGCTACATTTTTAAATTGTAGATGATTATCGATACTCGATTTAAAGTAAAAAAAATGTACTTTTTTCAAAGATAGATTTTTTAAAATAATTTTCAGGAATTACATGCTCACCTAAACGGATCACTTAGTCGCTCTACAATGTTGCAATTACAAAGGCATTACGCTGATGCAGGAATATCGGAC